ATGACTTTGATACTTCACTCTATGTAATATAATTCTATAAATATGATGAGACAATCGGAGTTTAAAAGAAATACGACCCTGAATTGGGAAGATATACAAGACAACATATTTACGGAGGAGGAGTGATGGACGTTTTCAAGTCGTTTGGAAAAAAATATTTGGAAAAACAATGAAGAAAGCGGCTAAAAAAGGAGCTGGAAAAGCAGTAACAACAGCTGCTGTAAAAAGTGGCGAACATGTTGGTAAAAAGGCTGGTGATAAAATAGTGAAACTGTTATCAAAAAGCGGTGAGAGTAAAAAAGTTACTTTTAACAATGATGTAAGAGTTAAGCCAGTTCCAAAGAAAATGACTGACCAAGAGATAAATCAAAGAGTAAATCAAACTCTGAGCGGAGGCGCAATACGTAAGAGAAAAATTATATAATTATTAAAATGAAATGAAATCCTTTAGAAACCCAAAATATCTTGAGCGATATGAAGATGTTGTTTTTGACCTAGAACAAGCTCTTGATGTGGCACCAGCAGATACTGCTTATCAAAATAGAGCCGGTCTTAGATTTGTTGCTGACAATACATACAGGTGAAGCCACACCATTTGATTGGTATAATGCAAGATTATCAGTTGATTTTAAAGTTGATAAATTAGCAGACCATGCTGCACTTACTCTTACTGACCATAACGGAATTGTAAATGGTTCTAATTCATTCACACAAAAGGTAAGCATCACTGCAAATGGAAGAGAAGTTTATAGTTGTAATTATGCAAACCATTGTGTAAATATCAAAAATTTACTTGAGTAGAATCCCTCTTATGTTGAGAGTATTGGCACAAATGAATTTTACTTTCTTGACACATCAAGAAGTGCGGAGGAAACAAAGTATGCAACAAGAAATGTTGAACACTGTAGAATCAATGCTAATACTGCTTATGAAGTAAGAGCTTTTGTGGATGGTAACAAAGGTTTTGGTGCAAGAAAAGCACTATTGGGAGAGGGTCTTGGGATTATCATCCAAAGTAGATTGTGAAATTCCTGTTAACAGATATCCATTCTTTGAATCATTAGAAGATAAACTACTTCCCGATACAAAAATTGAGTGAAATGTTGAATCTGACAAAGACAAAAATTTGATTTGGAGACAAGGAGGAGCTGATGGGGCAGGAAAGATTAATTATACTACGACTTCAACGTTTTGTTCCACGACTAACATTTATTTCGGAAGGACAAAAGTAATATACTTGGAAAATTATCTTAAACCATATAAATGGACTTATTTAAATGAAAATTTTGAAAGGTCAAATAACTCCAAGCAAAAGACAGGTCATTTCAGAATCACAAATGGTATTTCAAAACCAAGACATGTATTTGTTTTTATAGTGAATACCGTAAAATTCCGAAAATAAGCCCCGGGGCTTATATTTTTCAAAGGCCCTTTTTGAGGGGTTTATTTTTGGAGGGGCTTATATTCGGAGGGGCTTATCTACGGAGGGAAATTTGCGTTTCAAAATCGATTGGACTAGCCTTATAGTTTAAAGTAAATTTGCCATTTTTGCTTTGTTTTACTTTGTTTTTGAGGGCAATATTCCAAGTACAAGCCCCCGGGGGCCTACTTTTGGAGGGGCGATTTAACGGAGGATTTTTTGAGTTACCGGTTCGGGGGGCTTATATTTGGAGGGGCTTATTTTCGGAATTTTACGGTACCTCCAATATTGACAATCAGTTAAAAAATTCGTTTTTATATAACACTTTTTCAGTTGGTGAGAAACATACAGGTAATCCTCCAGACAGCGCAAGAACATTAAATAGATGTTACCTTGAAGTTGGTAATGGAAATTAATACCCTAGTATTCACTACAAACCAAATGATGATTTATTAAGAGTTTACAGAGATGTAATGTCATACGTTTATGCAAACAATGATTTCCAAGGTGGAACACTTAATACAAGTAAGTTTAAAACGCTGTTCCCATTTGTTTATTTTGACCTGACAAAACAAAAAATGGAGATCAAAGATGGAGTTACAGAACTGGCGTTTCATTACGAACTATCAGACAACACACCACAAGATAATAATATTTACGCTCTTGTTCTTCACGAAAAGACCGCTGAAATAGAACAACAAAGTGGAAAACTTTTGCTGCGAGCATAATCTAAATATTAAAATAAATGGAAGATGAAAGAATATTAAAAGAATTGGCCAACAGAAAAATTGGTAACTGTATAAAATATCCTGTAATGTTAACAAAAAACAAATTGACGATTATGAAAAAAAATGTAGAGTTAGAACTAAACATGTAGATGAATTATTTCTAACTTTAGATTTTAAAAATTTAAAAAAGAAAAAAAAATTAGACTTTTTCTTACAAAAACCCAAATCAAAAAAAATAAAAGAAGCAAGTGAAGAAAAAGAACCAATTGATATAAAAAATTTTAAAACACAAATGCAAAAAACATGTCATTATGCAATAGATTTAAACATGAGGCTGATGTGGTTAAAAGAAAAAATCCAAAAAAAGAGAACCAATCTAATAGAACCAGTAAAAAAAACCAAAAAGGAAACTAAAAAATCTAAAGAAGAAAAATTAAAACCCCCTGCCCTCCCTGTGAAATCCCTTATTGTAGGAGAATTAATATCCCTCCCCAAAGAAACTACTATTATAGAAAAATTAAATAAACCCCGAAAAAACCAAAGTATATCATATCAAGAAAATAATTTACAAAATATATTACAAAAATGTTCTAAATTTATCACTAACTGCTGAATTAAAATATACGTTAAACAGGTTAGATCTCAGTGAATCATTAAGAATCTTTTATATAATTACTTCGCTTATAAATGCGAATTATAATCAATTACCAATCTTCAATAACATTAGAACAAATGAAACCTCTTTTAGAAGGTTTAATAACTCTATTGGGAATTCTATTAAATCCAGTTTCTAATGAACAATTAAATGAAATTGTTAATATTTAATTATTAATCTACTTAATAAACTAAAATGACGAATTATTTTGAATATGGAGTAAATCTAACAGATAATCAAAAGTCAAAGCTGGATTCTGCAATTCGAAATAAATCACCACTGACTCTTCGATTAAAACATTCACATCTTCGAGGTTCTGTTGAGCTAATGCTGACCCAAAGACAAATTGCTAAAATAGAAAAATCTATTGCAAATAGAACAGGAAGTGATATAAGGATTAGTCGAACACAGATTAGAAAATCTGTAAAATATGGTGGAAACTTATTCACATCATTCGCATCCCTTGGAGCAAGGGTACTTCCTTACGCAGTAAAAGGAATTTCAAAAGCTGTTCCAGCATTGGCAACTGGGGCTGTTTCTGCATTGGGAGAACTTGAAATAAATAAAATATTTGGAAAAGGAATTAATATTCCAAAAAGGTTTATTGAAATGTTACCACTTTTCAGAAAAGAGTTTACAACTTCACAAATGGACCAAATGAAAAGAACTTATCAAACAGGCGGACGATTAGTTATTAAACCAACCCGTAAACAGATAGAAGGAGGATTTCTTGGAACACTTGCTTCTATCAGAATTCCAATGGCGATTAGTTTAGTATCAAAGATGTTTGGATCGGGACTACCATTGATAGACAACCATCATCAAATACAAGAAATGTTTATGTACCACCTGTTAAATCACTTGGTGATGGCCACTATCCATTCCCTTCTCCACCCTTTTTTGGAGGTTGGAATAACCCAATTTGTGCAGGGGTAAAAAAAATCCAAAGGAAAAGGTCTTTTACAATTCTGGGATCGATTTTGTAAACAATCCACTGTCTAATTTTGACCTCTTTGGCTGGGTCGCTAAACTTGGAATTAAACATTTTAGAGGCATCTACAGTAGAGATGGATTACCACGTAAGATTGGTAAAGAGTGTGGAATAATAAGTCTCGATGATGTGGAGGGAGCTGGAACACGTTGGGTTTGTTACAGGAATTTGGAAAAAGATTGAGTTGAATACTTCGACCCGTTTGGTTTGATTATGCCACATTAAGTGTATTACTATTTAGCCACATCTGAAAAAAAAAAAACTCATTTACTCACAGGATGAAATACAAAACAGAAGTACTGTTCTCTGTGGTTATTGGTGTTTGTATTATTTATACGAGGAAAAGGAAAAGATATACTAGACGTAATTCACCATGAAGATGTTGATGAGGATAACAGTGCTTTTATAAGGGACTACTGTATAAATAAGAAGTACTAATTTTATATCAAAATTTGATATAAAATTACAAAGTGAAGCTTCAATCACTATCACTATCACTTCCTTCTTTCAACTTTTTCATTTTTTAGAGTTCTAATGTTTGAATAAATCTCAAGAAGCTTAAACAAACGCGAGTTTTTATCCCCTGTTATCTTAAGCCAACTATAACCTTCACATGTGACTTTCCCAAATAATTCACACTCACTCGCAAGTTGTATTCGAGCAAGATCCTGGTTTGTTTTTCGCTCAATGTCAAGGTCATGATTTATTTCAGTTCGAATTTCTTTCTCAAAATCTTTTAGTGTTTTAATATCCATTTTTTTCTCAATTTCTTTAAAAAAGTTAGCTTCCATTTTATTATATTAATAGATAATCCTTAAGTTGATTATTAGACAAAATAACTTCCTTTTACAACCTGTCCCAATAAATCTGCTCGCTCACTTATCTCAAAATGCAGCTCAAATATTTTTACAAATCTTTTTTCATCTTCCGAACTTGAATAAGGGTAATATTCAAAACTAACATTCAATAGGTTATAAATCTTTTCAAGTTCGCCTTTTACAAACTTTTCTCGAGATTTCATTAGCACTGGTGAAATGGAGTGGGTAAAAAAAAAAAGAAAAAGAAATGGAGTGGGTATCCTGATAAATTTAACTCATGGGTGAGTTTTAAGGATTTGGTTGATGTTTAATACAAAATTTGTATTAAAAATAAATCCTAAATATTGCCCTTTTTCATTTCTACTCAGTTACATCTGACAAAATAGTTTTATTCATCCACTTCTATATCAGAGATAATTACGTCTTTACTTTCGTCATCCTCGCTTTGCTCACCTTTCTCGGTATCACTTTCATCATCACTATCGCTTTCTTTGATTGTAAGTAATGGCTCTCTTGGTTTGAGTGGTTTAATATAAACTTCATGAACTTTGACTTGAAGAGATGTAACTGTTTTAATTATAAAGATTCCTTCTATAATCAATGCCATTTTTACATAACAGTACTGATTAAGATATTTAAAAGGATTAACACTCTTTTTACCCTTTGTTGAAACTAAGGAAAGAATTTTCTTTGTTTTATCAGAGTAAATAAGTTTTGCATAAAGTACTGGCGCGGCTGTCTCATCTCTCTTGGTTTTCTTTTTAGCTCGTGGATGACGTAGTCATGCCATGGGCTTTTGGAGGCACTCGAATGGCACTCGATCACACACTCACTCACTCGATTCTCATTAATTTATTCATTAAAGCCAGATTAAACACTTAACTCTTACCTCCCTTACTTAGTATTACTTTTGTTCCAAGTGCCTTTTACGTATATGTTTGGCGTATTTGAGAGGGTACTGGTATATATGCGTAGATTTTTTCCCGGCACATCATAAAGATGGGGTTTGTATAATGGCGATATTCTAAAGAACACTGACAATATCATCTGCAAGAAATGGACTTGGAATTGTTAAAAGGACATTGAAATAATTGATCGTGCATCATTGATGTACATTTGGACGAATTGTGCACATTTGTTCCCGATATAACTTGATAAGGAGAAGATGTGATCGCCAGGAGTGTGAAAGAGCTATAGCAGCCTGACGATCGCCATGGGATTTCGTTCAGCGAAAAGCGAATACGCCAAAGAGCCTTTATAGCAGCGAAAAAAAAAACGGTCCTCGAAGTGTTAAAGCGACATTGAGAAGCATGTATTGTGGTCTATTGTGGAAATGAAATAATGTTCTGTTAACTGGAAGCACAGGTTTTAGAACCAACAAGCGTTACGCTTTTTTGCTTGAATTCTTAGGTGATCTTTCCCCAGCAGGCTTTTGTTTGTCGATGATTCCATTTTTCAGTGCTATTAATGTAATTTGTACAGTAAAACGTTGCGCTGGTATTAACAAGTTTCTAGAATATTCAGGTAGAGAAAGGCAATCGGATACTTCGACTGCGTTTAAATTACTTAGCTTGGGGTCAGAGCACGTACAGCTTCGAGCTTAGTCCGTTTGATGAAAATAATGTTTAGCTAGTGTTTAGCAAAAGCGCGTTCTAAAGCAGTTTAATTTAACCATAAACGCCTGTATTCTGTCATTAATAGCTTGATCGTGCTACAAAAACAAACCATGTTACTTGCTCTTTATGAACAGCATATGGAAACATTTATTTAAAAGCATCGCACTTATACGAAACCAGTTCGAGGTCCATTAAAATAATTGTTTAAAACCACGGTTTAAATAAAACTCGGGCTTATATAAAATTTAGCTATATTACAAGAAAGTGCAGTATCGTTCGGAAAGTGTTTTACAGTCACATCAAAAAAATTTGCTCGCAAATTTTTGCTAACAAGATCGATCCTGGACATGTCTAATTATTTTACAACTAACAATTAAAGCGCTAATACTTGCTTTAAGTGATCTTTGCGTTATAAGTAGAAATGCTGCGCTGATAACAAGTTTCTAGAATATTTTCAAGTCACGCTGTAATTTGGCAAGTCCGTACACAATGAAGCGTCCAAAAAGATTTATATGTTTTTCTTTGATTATTGAACTGTCTTTTCCACACTAATCGATCAATTAATCCATGAGCTCGCTCCTAGGAGCCTTTGATTTCCTTTTTTGTCTATATACTCAACCTGTTTGAAATAAAAGGCGAAGACAGAGATGATGCCATATCTGCACCATATTCATTCTCTAGATGATTCTGGCAGACTCCCACGGTATTACTTAAGGCTTCAAAAAATGCTTTTTCTTGAGGATTTGGCTCACTATCTTTATTCCAAAGGCAAATTGGGATACTATAACCAACTAACCTGTTTGTTTCTTGGTTCTTCTTTTCATTAACGCCAAAACTAAAAAGAAGCGGCGTCTCGATTATCAAATTACCTTTCTTACCATTTGGATATTTGGTTTCAATTTGTATACGTTTATACATGATTTTTCAATCCGTAACTTTGTAATCCTTTGGTTCCTTAAAGATGATGTTGTCGGGGTTAGACTTTCGTAACTTGTTGATTGCATTCTTATTAATATTTAGATAATCTTTAAACCAAAATTCAATTTTTTTTCTTCTTGATTAATCTTGTCTAATAATTACTGTGAAAGAAAACATTTTGGTTTTTTAATAAATTTAATATCCTCTGTATCTCTCTGCATAATATAAACCCTGTCGTTAAAAGCATCAATTATCCCTTCAATACTACTTTTCTCATGTTCACTATAAAGAGGAATTAGCATATATGAATCATATAATTTGTTAAATTCAAAATCTAGTTTATAAGATGATCAATAACTTCTTTATCTCTTTCACTCAGCTCGCTAAACATTTTTTTTATCTATAATTAGATTATTTTCCAGACCATAAAAGTCTCGTAGTATTCCCAGCCTTATTCCGAATCTTTTTTGCTCTTGCTAGATATCTCTCTTTTCTAGCATCATCTTGATAAATAAGATACTCAGAATATTTTTGCGAGCCAAAATGCACTTTCTTTCCATCTGGTAGAGTCGCTACATATTTATTATTTTTACGAGATGAATAATCAAGAGATTTAGCACCAAGTTTTTGAGCCTTTTTGGTTAGTTTTTTAAAGTCTTTTCCTGTAACAACATTCTTTGTTGATTCCTCTTTTTCCTCTGGTACAACATCCTCGTTATTTTCACCAAGCTCGTTATTCAAATCTTCTAAGACTTCTTGCATCATCATCTTTTTATCTTTGATTAGACAATATCCCCACTTCACTTATAGTAGTTATAATAGGATTATTTCTGGAACACAATTCCACCTACTCTTTCCTGGTTATTCCGCGAGCGAGCCATTCATTAAGTAGTCGGCTTCATTAACATTTCCCACTTTAATATGTGAACTTTGTTAGACTTTCACCTTATTTTAACAAAAATGATGCAAAGTATTTACATTAGAAATGAGGGAAATAACCAGGAATATAGTAGACTTTTACGATATTTGGCAGAAGAGTATCATGGCAAAACATAAATTAAATTAGTGAATTAAAAAATTTTGCTTCAGTGCATTTACTGAGAAAAACTACAAAATTAATGACAGAAATTAAACAGGAAAATTTCAATAACGGATGGCTGGAGAAATGATAAGCATAACCAGGAAAGAGTAGGTGGAATTGTGTTCCAGAAAGCATCCTATTATAACAACTCATTCGCTGGGCTAGACGCAAGGCTAAACCGGTCGAGAACAGATAAAAACCCGTTTTTTAAATTTATTTGTCCAGGTTTCTGGACGGATTTGAACAGTTGTCGGCAGAGGCTACTTTTCGCGCGCCACATCATTACCGCGAAAATCTAGCCTCTGCTCGCAGGGTATCCGAAGTGTGACCGCTACCACCCAGGCGACAAATGAATTAGATTAATGGGCGTTAACATCGGGGGATTGGGCGGAGGCAAAGTAAACTTAATATTGAAGCGCGTTTTTCCTTCAGGTTTTCATTCTCAAAGGCTTTCACTATTCTTTCCCACAGGCTAACAGGCCAACAAACTTATTTCTACAATTTCACGGAGCTGTAGGCTAAAAAAGCGTAAGTAAATTTTTGTTGCCTATGTGTTGCTCCACCCTTTTGTTTCATGTTCGACGAAGGCGAAAAATCAGTCAATGAGTAAGGGGGGGGGGGAGGATTGGGAGGGCTTCGATGTAGGATTTCTTTGGAGTGGGTAGCGGTTTTTAGTCTGATTTTATTCTTTCGCTAATCTTTTTATCAGAACACAATTCAAAATGGAATATACTCCACAACAGTTAAACTATTTCAGAATATGTTATATCGCCTTCAACTTGGTCCCCGAAGGACTTCGCAAAGTCTTCAAACAAGAGTGGAATTTCCTTTACATGACAACTCCATTTGGGGAATGGAAAGACATTCCACAAAATGGCAGCGATTTCTACAACAACGAAACGGGGAAAAGTCGAAAAAAGGATGCCCGATATTTTGCGATAATACAAAAGGGAAACACAGCAGAGTGGGACTGCAGTTGTCTACTTTTTGCGATATTGTTCTCGGATAGTATTGGCACCACTCTGAGTTCGACGATCAGAAAAGAGGTAGACGTTCTTCGAGAGGTGCGAAACGACATCGCTCACATAAACGAGGTTGAACTTTCTGATGCTGAATTCAAAAATTATGTAGCAAGAGTGATAGCTGCATTTACATCTTTGAACCTCTCAACTGATGAAATCGAGGATGTTAAAAACCAGAGCAGCTTTCCCACAGCAGAAGTAAAAAGCTTAAAGCTAAAGGCTGATGGACTTAAAGCTGATTTAAAAGCGAAAAATGAAGAAGTTAAAAATCTAAACTCCGAATTACATAGCAGGCAGGAAGAAGTAGAAACACTCACTCAGGAAATCAGTTCCAAAGTCGAGTCTTTCTGTAGTCTTACATTCAAGCCATCGCACCAACTCATCAGACGTTCCAACGATGTCACAAGAATCAAGAACAAGCTGGAGGAACTTTATAAAGAAAGCAAAGGAGCTATCAGCACCATTTATTTATCAGGAATTCCGGGCTGTGGCAAAAGTCAGTTCGCTCGTCAAGTGGGACAGGAAGTCTATGACAAACGTTTGCGAGAAGACAAAGGTCTAACATTTGTTTCAACTCTGAATGCAGAAACCCTTGACTCACTTGCCGACTCCTATTTCAATCTAGCTAAACAACTGGGAATTACGGAATACACTCTGACCAACTTAGCAACCTCCACGAAGGTCGACTCAAGTGAAAAAATTCAACATTTGATGCGTTTTATTTCTCCAAAGGTGAAACAATTTTTTGCCTGGCTGATTATTGTAGATAATGTTGTTGACCTATCCGTGGTACGTAATTATGTGCCTCCAACCGCCAGTGAAGAGTGGGGTCATGGTCAGATGATAGTAACTACTCAAGATACTCAGTCAATACCCTTCAATTCCCCTCATACTTACCATGAGTCTCTCAGTAAAGGAATGCACCAAGATGATGCAGTAGACCTTTTAAGAGAAGTGTCCCAAATTTCGAATCAACAACAAGCTGAGGAGGTTGCTGAAGTTCTCGAGTATCAGCCACTTGCCTTGGCAGCTGCTGCAGTCTACGTGCAAACAATTGTCAGCTATGGTACCCCTAATTACGGTTGGACAAAATACCTGGAAACATTGAATAGCGAGGAACGCGAAGCCAGAGAAGAGCTTTTCGCGAAAAAAAACAGAGCATATCCCAAAACAACGGCTACTGCAATCAGAATAGCAATAACTCGAGCTTTGGAAAGCGACAAAGTTCTTTGTGAAGTGTTTTGTTTGTTTTCGCTTTGCTCATCTGATTCTCTACCTATTGAGGCTGCAGTTGACTTTGTTAAATATCGTAACAAACAACAAAAAGAAGAATTTATCAGAGCTAAAATTCTGGAATCCACCATGATAACTTGCTTGTATGATGTTGACGGCACACCCACGTACTTAAGAGTACATAACGTTGTTCATGAAGTGCTTAAGTCCACTATAACATCAGTCCTGAACCGCACAAATAAAGCTGAGGACTTTTCCGTCGCTGTTAAGATTTTCAGTTCACTAATTGAAGACAACAAGAAGCTACTACTTGCAAGTGAGAGTATGTGCATAAAGTTAAGACTAACTACCAGTCATTGTAAAGCGTTATATCAACATTTCAAGACTAATTTTGCCGACGCAGAATTAACAAATAATGAATTATTCCCCTCCATAGCTCCTAGAAATTTAGTATCCTGGCTTTCCTCGACTGCTGAAGTCAGTCGCGACTTGAGTAATATATCGGAAGCTCACTTCTTTTGTACATTGTGCTCTGATTTTGTAAATTATCTTGATGACGAGCTAAGAGATAAGCTGGAAAAGGCGAATTATTTTCGAGTGCAAGGCCTCGTTTCCAAGGATCTTGACCAGAATAATCAAGCTAAAGAATACTTTGAGAAGTCTCTTGCCATTAAAAAAGAGATTTATGGTGAACACCATGCTGACGTAGCGACCATTTACGACAACCTGGGAACTGTTTACAGTGACCTTGGTCAGTATAATCGGGCTAAAGAATACCATGAGAAGTCTCTTGCCATTAGAAAAGAAATTTATGGTGAACACCATGGTGACGTAGCGCAAAGTTACAACAACCTGGGAAATGTTTACAGTGACCTTGGTCAGCACAATCAGGCTCAAGAATACTATGAGAAGTCTCTTGCCATTAAAAAAGAGATTTATGGTGAACACCATGGTGACGTAGCGGCAAGCTACAACAACCTGGGAAATGTTTACAGTGCCCTTGGTCAGTACAATCAGGCTAAAGAATACCATGAGAAGTCTCTTGCCATTAGAAAAGAGATTTATGGTGAACACCATGGTGACGTAGCGGCAAGTTACAACAACCTGGGAACTGTTTACGGTGCCCTTGGTCGGTACAATCAGGCTAAAGAATACCTTGAGAAGTCTCTTGCCATTAGAAAAGAGATTTTTGGTGAACACCATGGTGCCGTAGCAACATGTTGCAACAACCTGGGAACTGTTTACATTGCCCTTGGTCATTACAATCAGGCTAAAGAATACCATGAGAAGTCTCTTGCCATTAGAAAAGAGATATATGGTGAACACCATGGTGCCATAGCGACAAGTTACAGCAACCTGGGAAATGTTTACATTGCCCTTGGTCAGTACAGTCAGGCTAAAGAATACCATGAGAAGTCTCTTGCCATTAGAAAAGAGATTTA